GTGATGCAGCGTTATGCGGACCGCACGGCTCTAAACGGGCGTTCGCGAGTGGTGGCTTCCTGACGGCCTGTGCGCTGTGCGCTCGTCAGCCCGAGACGGCCGAGAGTCTAAATCCGTGAGCACGATCGGGTCCCCAGCTCCTGTCTTCGGTGCCGCGCCAGCTCCCCCTCTAGTCGTTGCGGATCCGGATGGTCCTCGTGCTTCGCTGCTGGCTGCTCCTTGACGAGGGCCGCGTAGTTCCGTACGGCTGGGTCCTGGATAGATAGAGCTGTCGTGTGGAGGGAGGACACGCTCGAGAGAGTGCTCTTGGTATCTAGTGATTCTCGAGTCAGTGTCTAGAGTGGTGTAGAGAGTACTTGTGCGTAATTAAGCTTTTATGGCCCTTTCCCTTAATTGTGCGTAATTATGAGCGGCATCACGCTGCTGATGGCCGCCGCCATCCAAGGCCACCAGCGGGTGGTCGAGCTGCTGCTGCAGCGAGGCGCAGAGATTGTATCACCGCAGAGCAGCAAGGGCTTCCACTGTGTGGAACGCGCTTGCGGATGCGCGCCCCAAAATGTCCGCCCAAAAGGCCTCGTTCTCGCCCCTTTCCTGTACGCGTGGGTCTCAGAGGACGAATGCGCACCGGACCTTCGAGGACATCAAAGTCGGCTGCGCCCTACGGCCATCCAGCCGGCTCTCGAGTGTCGCAGCGCGACGCGCTTCACCCCTCGACTCCGCGCTGCGAGTCGATCTGGAGACGACGCTCGGCCACCGCCAACTCCACCCTGACGCGTCGCACATGCGCCGAGTGTCCCCCCCGAGGGTGTCCTTGTATAGTATGCTTGGTTGCGAGTTAAAAAAAGCCCGTTCCGCACCCGCACCCAGCACCAGTACACATGCCGTTCTGGTGCCCCTCGGCTGGCCAGAGGACGACTCACAATGCAAAATCGGAAAGACGTCACGAGGGGCCGTATAAACGGTACCGCAGCGGCCCGGGACACTAACAGTGAATTGCTGCCACTCGCCCGGCCTCCTCCCCCTCGGGGTCGCCCGGAAAGTGGGCTTGCGCACCGGCGCCCCCCCCAGCACGCCGACCCGAGGTGTACCCTCCGGCCACCTGGGAGGGGAGCGTTCTCCCTTTTTGGCCCATTGGCTTCATCATGATGGATACGGAGGTGGCCAGCCCTTGGTTGTGCACCTGCGGCGCGAAGAGGAGGTGATCTCGGCGGACGACGGCCGTGCCAAGAGCGGGTGCAGCGCGGAAGAGGGTGCGCAGCGCGTCGCGGCCGCGCGCTTGGGAGCCGGGGGGATGGCCGGAGGGGGTGGGACGCCTGCATGTCCTCGAAGCTCCCACCCGCATACGCAAGCCGAGCCGCGAACGGCGGGGAGGGAGTTTTGGAGGGTCAGCCAAGGACGCGCATGGCGAGTGACAAATAGAGGCGACTTCGCTCTACACCGGTTTGCCATCGTGGTAAGGTAGATTTCTCCACACACACACAAAGTGGTGGGGCAAGGGGGGGCGACCCTCGCATCTCCACGCCCGGACACGGGCAGGAGCCCCACGGCATGTGTGTGTTTGTGTCACAGTGTATCTCCGGGTTTTGTTTTGGGTGTAAGGTAAGGTACACACACACATATGCATAAAGGTTTTTTAAAGCCGTGTAGACGTGACGGCTCGTCGATTTTCCTCTCACTCTGACACACACGACACACGCGCGAATCACAATCAGGCCCAACGTCACGTCTATCCACGCAAAAAATATCAAGAACACAGGCCCAGCTCCGCCAGACGCGCCTCCACCCGGTTCACCAGCGGCAGCAGCGCCCCGCCCGCGTCCAATCCGAGCGTGGTTGCCGCCTCTCGGCTCGTCGCGACCAAGTTCTGGCCCGGCGCTAGGGCGAGCGCCTCGCGAATGCGCGCGACTCGGACGGGCAGAATGGGCTTGCCCGGCGCGGGCGCGGGCGCGGGCGCGGCGCACCTCGCAGCCACCGGCGGCGGCGGCGGCACTCGAGGTAATCGCGGTTGCGGACATGGCCCTTGCGTTACCTGTGCGGACGGCTAAGAGGCCAGCACCTGCTGCTCCTTTCTAAGACTCGAAGAGCACAACAACTCGAATGGAGCGCGCTCCTGCAGTGACGCAG